GGCGGGCCGGCTAGTTGCCTGGATGGGGGGACTACCTTACTAGCCAGACACCTGCCCCTTCGGGATGTGGGGCGTGCTGTGAGGGAGTACGGTCGCCTGCCTGCTACTAGGGATGCCGGCCCTAGTTACGCCGCCCCCTTTCTTTTCCCGGTAAGGAGAAGGGGTGAGGCTTCCTCCTGGCTGTCGCAAGAGCTCCACCTTCCACTCTTAACTGACTGGCCAATGGAAGGAAGCAGCACTGTTTGCCTTAGCAACGCCTCCGCCAATCAGGGGCCCTGAGCCTAGCTGCTTAGGAAACATCCTGCACTGACCCACTCCTGACTGTTGAAGTCCCCGTAGTCGACTAGGTTCAGATCTAAGCTTGGTTCGCAATTTAAGATTTCTTCCTGTCTCTTCTAAAACAAAGCCTTCCTGCCAGGCGTGGTGGCGCACGCCTGTAATCCCAGCACTCAGGAGGCTGAGGCAGGAGGATCGCTGTGAGTTCGAGACCAGCCTGGGCTACATAGTGAGTTCCAGGTCAGTCTCAACTACATGGTGAGACCCTGTCTCAAAAAACCTAAATAAATAAATAAATAAATAAATAAAACAGAGCCTTCCTGAGGAGTCATTGCTCCAGGTCCCCATTATGTTTGTTAGTAGGTAACTATTTTCAGACTCTGCTAGCAGTAAGGCTTATTTATTTGCAGGAAATTCTAGTGAATGAGTAAGTTCTTTGGCAGTTTGTCTTAAGCATTTGACAAAAAATGTTTCATTGCCAAACCTCTAAGATCTCTCTCAAACCCTAAGTTGCCTGGAAAACTCAGTATCTACCAGCAGCCTGGCAGAGCAAAGCTGGAAAACCCCTTTTAAAGAGAACATAGTAACCCAGCTCTCTTATGTTTAAAGAGGAGACTTGAGGCTAAGAAAGAGGAAATAATCATCTCAGGGTCACACAGATGGTCATCGCCAGAGCTGGGAACAGGACCTATGTGTGATCCCATAGTTCACTGGGGCAGAGAACTGAGTTATTATAACAGTGGTAGACATGATTATCCCGGCCATCATTGTAAGAGCCGCAGACATTTTTTTTGGTCTTGTTACATACCTGTCTTCATAACTACCTGAAGGGTAGGTATTACTCTTTTATGTATTTACTTTGTGGTGCTAGGGATTGAACCCAGGGCTTCAAGCATAAAAGGCAAGTGCTCTACCACTGAGCACCACTCCACTCACAGGCCCCTGTCCTTTTAGAGGCAAGAAATGAAGCTTAGCAGCACCTTAACTTGCCCAGAGATCAGGCAGTAGATAAATGGTGGAGCTGGCATTTGAATTCAAGCGCACTGACTTCAGTGTGGGCTCACAGTCCATGTAAAGCTTCTGCAAATACAGGGTCTGGTAGAGCCTCACTGCTCCATCTTTACTCTGGGCATAGGACACACTGAAGCCAGCGTTCACCGTCACCAACCTGCCGGGTACCACCTCCACCATCCAAACAGCACCCAGCACCTCTACCACCATGCAAGTCAGCAGTGGCCCCTCCTTCCCCATCACCAACTACCTGGCACCAGTGTCTGCTAGTGTCAGCCCCAGCGCTGTCAGCAGTGCCAACGGGACTGTGCTGAAGAGTACAGGCAGCGGTCCTGTCTCCTCTGGGGGCCTCATGCAGCTGCCTACCAGCTTCACCCTTATGCCTGGTGAGTCACAGGGGGCATATTGGACATGCTGAGTGGGTCTCACTATGGGTAGCATTGGGAAAACTTCCATCCCCACTCAGAGGAGGTTGAATGGGTTTAAGCGTAAGAAGCCCCTTACATCCCATGGGCAGACGTGTCCCTGGCCGTGAGAGCCCTGCAGTCCTTGGCAGTAAGTTTATCTGCATGTTCTGGCCTTGTCTAGCTAGCCCAGCCCTGTGAAACCATTGCAATGGGACGGTAGACTTTCTGCTGCTTGCCTGTCATGTCATTGCTGGATCAGGGCCAGAGTCTGGGTCAGTTGAAGAAGACAGAGGCAAAGCCTGGAGCAAGAGGAGGGGTGAAGCTCCTGGAGAAGAGCTCTGGGGCCTGAAGGACCTGATTGGCTCCCAGAAAGATAGTGATGGGAGTTGGAGATCAGTGTGCCAGACCTTGGGATGGGGGTGTTCAAGTGTGTCTGGTGTGCAGGTGGCCACTGGGCAGGACAGAGCCCAAGGAAGACTCTGTGTCTCATAGGTGGGGCAGTAGCCCAGCAGGTCCCAGTGCAGGCCATTCAGGTGCACCAGGCCCCACAACAAGCGTCTCCTTCTCGTGACAGCAGCACAGACCTCACGCAGACCTCCTCCAGTGGGACAGGTAAAACTCAGCCCTGTCACCTTCCCTGCCTTTCCCCCCACCTCTGAGCCTTAGCAGTAGGTACCCAGTAGATCCCTCTCATACCTGAGATTAAAGAATTTCTCAGAGTCTGAGGCTTTTGGCTTAAACCTTAGGAGAAAGTCACATGGGGATGGATGGGTTTTAAATGATACTCTGCAGTGGAGCTGTGGATTCCAGGAGGAAATTAGGGACCCTTGAAGCCATCTCCACCCACTTACCTGAGAATTATTTGCCTAGAGACACAGCATCAGGTCAGTTACTGGGATGGTCTTATCCGTAGCAGTTTTCTCCCTGTGGGAGGGAGTTGTGTGTTTTGAATAGCTGTAATTCTTACGTGGTCATTTCAGAAGTAGTGAGACAGTCTCAACATTACTTTGAAGTTGTTATTCAACCTTGTTATACAAAGTATGGTCTAGTGATTGGGAGTACCCGCATTCCTAGGGGCTTGTGGTAATGCAGACTCTTGTCACCCCAAACCTATTAAGTTAGAATCTGCATTTTAGCAAGACCCTGAGGTAACTGTATGCACATTAACTTTTGAGCGGCACTGATGTAAAAGATGGATTTGTTGGGTGTGAGTTTAGGAGGGGAATTAGAACAAATAGTCTTGTCAAATTTCTGATTGGGGATGTGGCCAGAGTCTTCGGGTGGGATGAGGTTTCGGTAGGGACCAGTGTCCCGCTCGCTGATATGTGTCTGTTTTCCAGTGACATTGCCTGCCACCATCATGACATCATCCGTGCCCACAACTGTGGGCGGCCACATGATGTACCCCAGTCCCCATGCGGTGATGTATGCCCCCACCTCGGGCCTGGCTGATGGCAGCCTCACCGTGCTCAATGCCTTCTCCCAGGCGCCATCCACCATGCAGGTGTCCCACAGCCAGGTCCAGGAGCAAGGTGAGGGGAGGGCAGGGCTGCAGAAGGGAGGATCATTTCCTCCAGTACATGTATCTTTTGCAAAAGCTCTATCTCCCTGCTTCTTCTTATCTATTTTTATTTTGCCTGTTATTTATACTTTGGGTTTCTCATATAAGACAAAACCATGCAGTAGTTAAACTTTTGTGTCTGATTTATTTCACTTAACGTTATGGTCTCAAGGTGCATCCATTTTCCTACAAATGACTGAGGCTTACCCCTCTTTATGGCGGAGTAGTATTTCGTGATGTGTAAATACCACCTTTTCTTTATCTGTTCATCTGTTGATGGACTTACAGACCACTTCTAAGATTTAACTGTTATGAGTTGTGCTTCTATAAGCATGGGTATGCAAGTGTGACTGTAATATGATGACTTTAACTCCAGATACCTGGAAGGGGAATGGCTGGGTCGAATGGAATTTCTATTTTTAGTTTTTTGAGGAGTATTCATACTGATTTCCATACAGCTACATGCATTCCTGCACGTGCACACGCGCACTCACACACAGATGCTCACACACACACTCAGACACCCATGCTTCTGCACTTGGACACTCACCGGAGTCTTCCCTGTCACTTGTGCATTTATTACCACCCTCCAGCATTTGGGGGTCCAGTGTCTGGGCTCCTCCTGAATGAGCCTCTCCTGTGTTCCCCATGCAGGTGGTGTCCCACAGGTATTTCTGACGGCGCCATCCGGGACAGTACAGATTCCTGTGTCTGCAGTTCAGCTTCACCAGGTAGATGGGGGCCCTTCCCACCCTGTCCCATGGCCATGTCATCTGGACTTGGGGGGGCCCCATTACCACCTGGCCTAAGCCAGCATCCCCAGCCCCCCGACTCCCCACTTTTCTGCACCTGCCCCCAGCTCACTGCCCCCTCCCCCCAGATGGCTGTGATAGGGCAGCAGGCCGGCAGCAGCAGCAACCTCACCGAGCTGCAGGTGGTGAACCTGGACGCCTCCCACAGCACCAAGAGTGAATGATCCGCCCGCCGCCCTGGACAGACCGCCCAAGGGACGGCACCACTTATTTATTGTTGCCTTTTCACGTTTTCTTTACACACATGTTGATGGGCGCAGGAGGGAGGTGGGGTGGAGGAGTGGGCAGCCACAGGACTATGCCCTCTCACTCCAGCCAAAGAAATGGGCCTGCCCGCCCTCCACCTGTCCTCCCGCACCCTCCCTCCCTGCCTCCTCCTTCAGACTCCCCTCCCCAGCTTGGCTCGATGTTTGCCATGAGTATTAGCTTACCCAATGGGACTGTGCCCCCTTCCCACTCACAGGCCTTCTGTGGGGTTGGGCACTGTGTGTCCCGTGTCCCATCCGCCCTCCCTGAGGAAGCAGTCGGGGCCCTCTCGCTAGCCTCCTTGCTGACCCCAGGTCAGCACTGTCTGCCACAGGCTGGCTCACAAGAGGCCCGCCCTGCTCCTCAGGGAGCCAGCTGGGGAGCCAGGGTGCCCCCACACCCCCACACCGTCCTCTGCCCCTTCAGCTCCTAAGCAGCTGGGCCTGCGCAGGGCCGGTTCCTGGGGCTGCCGTCCTGCCTTGCCGTGCCCCAAGGACCTCCAGGGGCACTTGGGTTGGAGGGAACCACCAGTGTTCCCTTCTTCCCCTTGTCTTCCCCCCTCTCCTCCCAGCTGCTTTAAAGTTGATTTTGAACTTTTTATTTGAGGAGACGAAGTGAAAACAAATCTATAAATATATATTTTTAAAATATTTAACTTTTTTTTATGGCGTTTTTCTCATTCCCCTCTCTGCCCAAACTCCCTCTCCCTGGGGAGCCCTTAGGCTCCCCAGTACTGGCAGGGCCCCTGGGGCCAGAGCCACCCCATGAGCTTGGGGTCCTCCAGTGTGGGGGGGGAGATTCTGGGATGGCCCCATCCTGGATTGCTGCCAGGAGAGAGCCAGGAAAGGAGCCCTCAGGCCATGCCCCAACGGGGTGGGGAGGGTCACCCACAGCTCTGGGCCTCTTTTTGCCCTTTAGGGCTGTCACTAGAGAAAGGGAAGAGGGAGACCAAATGTGGGGGTGGGTGCGGGAGGGTGTCAGGCAGAGGCAACTGACTTACTTCATTTGTGCCACACGCATGGGCATTGCAACCTTGTGCTCCCTCCCCCAGGCCTGCAGCTGCCTGGGGCCCAAGTTGCAGTGAGCAGGGTGTTGTCTGGGAGGGGGGCAGAGGCAGCAATGGGGGTCACAAGCGGGAGCGGCTCTTGGGCTGAGTGCAGAATAGGGAGCCAGAAATGGGCAGCTCTCCCAGGGAGTGAGCAGCTACTGTAACTTTTTTAAATTAAGACAAAAAGCCTTGAAGAAAATGACTTTATTTTTCTAAGTGTAACCTCAGTATTTATGTAATTTGTACAGGGGCCATGCCCCAAACCCCTCCCCCCTGGGGTAGATCTTGAGGGTGGGCCTGCATGGGGCAGGGTCTTTTACCCTGTGTCACAGCCTGCCTTCACTAGGGGTGTCCAGAAAGGGGCGTTTTCCAAACCGGGCAGCAGCTGGAGCAGACCTTTCTTAACCCTCCCACTGCCTTCAGTCAGAACAAGCCTCCCTCTGTGGTCAGGTGAAGCGTGGGGGGAGACTACGCACAGCCTGCGAACCCCCTGACCTCTACCCAGTGGTTGTCTTGCCCCATGTAGGGTGCCAAGATGGAAATTACCTTTCTGGGCTTTCTCCTGGAGATAGCTGGGGGTTTGGGGTGGCTTTTAAGGCTGGGGCGTGGCAAATCAGGGTCAGAGGGGGGAGCGCGGGACTCAGGTCTGTAACTGCCCAGCCCCGCCGCTCTGCTCGTTTCACTCCATCACCACTCGCACCCTGCTCCCCCACCCAGGGGAGGAGATGCTGATGAATCCCTCCTCCTTCCTGCAGCAGACAGACCCAGCGAGTGAATCAGGCAAAGTGCTTACAATGTGTGTCGTGTGAACGGGGCCTTGGGAGGGCATGCGTGTCAGGGATGAGGTGGCATTTATATGTGCAGCGACCCTTGGTGTTTCCCTTCCTCATGGCTCTGGGGTATGTGTGTGCCTGAGTGGGTGTGTATGTGTGAATGTGAGTGTGTGTGTCAGTGGTTTCTACTTTCCCTGGGATGCTGACCCAGGAATGGTGGACATGGTCACAGTCCTATGTACAGAGCTTTCTTTTGTATTAAAAAAAAAATACTTTCAATAAATGTATCATTTTTGTGCACAGACTGGGGGTCTTTGGCTTTGTTTTGCTACCTAAGGAGGACAAGATGAACATTAAACAAACCCCATAACACTACTCCAAGAAGCAACTCTGGCTCTGATGAAAACAGAAATGTTAAGGGTGCTGAATTCTCTGTCTCAGTGTTGGGGGCGGGGGTGGACTGGAGGTTTTCTTCCTGCGAATGGTTTTGCTAGGAGCTTGGGCCCTGAGTTGAGCAACCACGGGGTCGGGGGGTGGCGAGGTTACAGGGAATCGAACCCAGCGCCTCCACAATGAACTAGACCTAATTTTTATTTGAGACAAGAGTTTTGCTAAGTTGTCCAGGCTGGTCTCAGCCTCCCAGGGTGCTGGCATTACAGGCAGTGCCACCATGCCCCCTGAGCGATTTTAATAGGCAATGTGGCACAACTAACGCTAAGTATTACGGACGCCTCTGGGAAACTCACGGACACACGATTTGTTGATGGAGAATACAGAGGGCAAACCCAGAGCAGGGGGTGCTTCACAGTCATGGATTTAAACCCGGGTCCCTGCGGCGCACCGCCCCCACTCTCCTCCTCGGCACCAGAGCGCATGCTCCTTGCGCTCGCGGCTCTGTCGCGCTCGGCGTGGTCCGCGTTGGGACCCGTAGAGCCAGGCCGTGGGCGTGCGCGCACTGTGTGACCCGGAAGGGAGCTGCTGAGGAGGCGGGACCCGGACAGCGGGACAGGCCGCTGGGTCCCAGCGAGGGCCGAGACGGGCAGTGGGAGGTGAGAGTAAAGTTCTGCGCCAACCCACTCCCTTCCCCGACCTCTGCCCGGACCCGTAGCCTCTCTCCGTGGGCTGCTAAAGGGTACCAGATCTTGCTCTCTCAGATTCTTTTGGTCCTGTCAGGCTCCTCGGACCTCCCCTCATCCTTACCCCATCCCCCAATCCCATTCCCACCCTGGAGGTGCCTCCTCCACAGTCCCTGTGGTCTGCGAGCCCTGGCCTGGTCTTGTTGCGTGCTAGGCTCAGTTCCTACGTCCTGAATCACCTCATGGCAGTTTAGCCCTCCTGGACAAGACCCCCGTTCCGCTTTCCCTTCCCCCCAGTTTTATTTCGCCCTAAGCCGATGAGATGTGCATCGCCCTGTCACTAATTACCTCCCACCCCTTCCCCCACGCTGGGTTATCCCCTACCCCCATCGAGGTCTGCATCTTTCCTGTCTTTTCCTCTTCACTCCTGCTTGTATTCTAACCCTTTACTCCTGTAATATGACTCCTGCCCTGATCCCCATTTCTTCTCCTGGGTTTACCTTCCATCCTCACTGTTCGCTGTTACTCCTGCACTGCTTCATATTACACATATCTTTCCGTGATCATCCTTTCATTTAATATCTGGTTTATAATTTTCCGTTTATCTGATGGCTTCTGCTAACATCTAAGAATAATATTTGATTAATACTAGATTATATTTACGAAGCACTTGTATGGTAGATGCTGTTGAAAGTGCATTACATATGTGATTTTATTAAGTTTTTATAAGTTCATGAGGTAGACATGTTATTACCATTTACAGAGGAAGAAACAGGCTCAGAGGTTAAGCAACTTGTTCAAACCTATGCAAATAGTAAAAGAGCCAGAATTGAGCCATGTTTATGTGACTCTTGAAATCTATACTACATTGCTTCTCTCGACCTCTTTCCCTCCTACCCTTGGCCCCATGAGTATTACCTCTCATGTACATCTACCTAACCTAGACTCTTACCATACATACAACATAAGTACAGTTTTTATTTTGAGATAGAGTTTCAATAAATTGCCCAGGCTGGGCTCAGCCTCCCAGGGTGCTGGCATTACAGGCAGTGCCACCATGCCTCCTGAGCGATTTTAAGTAATAGGCACTGTGGCACAACTAACGCTAAGTATTGCAGACACCTCTGGGAAACTCATGGACACACGATCTGTTGATGCAGACCCAGGGCAGGGTGTACTTCACAGTATTCTGGATGTAAAGGGCAGCATACTGCAGAGTGAAGCAACCCCACCGCATTCCCAGGCTCCTGCAGCATACCCCCATACACCAACTACCCTCGGCTCCCACAGGGTGGGACTTGTTCTTTTTCTTTCATAAGACTTTCATTCATTTTTCCCATCCAGTTATCTGCCTTGGATCCCCTCCTCCTTTTCTCTCCATTCTCTGTATCTGCCATGGCTCACTGATTTATGTACACATTCCAGCTTTACTCTGTCATTGATACTCCTTTTCCTGCTCCTCTCCAAACCTACTTTTTCTCATATTCTGGCTCCACTGTCTCACATGGTGCTGCCCTTCATCCTTGTCATCCTTTGAAGTTCTGATCTAAAACCCTCAGCCACCCTGTTGTTCTGCCCAGTGTGGTCTGCTTAACTATCACTTGGAGTGTTATTCTTCTCATTCCAACTCTGTAATTTCTTCCATGTCTTAAACCCTTCATTTTACCCTCTTAATGTTTTCACTCCATTCTGGTCTTATAAATCTCAAAGTCACTGGGCATGATGGCACATGGCTGTAGTCCCAGCATTTGGGAGGCTGAAGTAGGAAGATTACCTTGAGTTCACAGCCACCATGAGCTACATGGTGGGACCCTGTCTCAAAAAAAAAAAAAAAAAAAAAAAAAAATCTAAAAGTAAGTTTAGCTCTTTCTCCCATCTTATTTTTTGTCTTCTCTGCTTAGCCTCTAAATTCTATAGCTTACCAATCAACCACCATCCTCTCTGGATTCCAAGACTGCCTGTGTAGTCTTTTTCTTTTCCAATATTGTCTTTTTGTTGTTATTTTATTTTGTTTAATTTTTATTTTTCCATCATTCTTATCTTTCCTTTTGTGTATCCCAGGAAGTCAGGATGATAGGGGAGCGACATGCTGGGGACCATATGGTTCCCTTGGGACCCCAGCTGCAGGCATATCCTAAGGAACTCATTCGCCAGCGACCTGGACATGATGGGCATCCTGAATACCTGATTCGATGGAGTATCCTGAAGTGTGGGGAAGAGAACAAAGTGAGTGTGGAAGAAGACAAAACAGAACACATCCTGATGTGGCTGTCAGCCCCAGAGGTCTATGCCAACTGCCCCATGCTGTTAGGCAAGTGGGCACTATCTAAGGGACCACAGCACGAACCAGCTGGGGGTTCAGGAAGCTTTTTTCATGACCCCGGAGGCCTGGATGAAGTAGCAATGAGAGAGATGGAGGCTGATGTGCGGGCACTGGTACACAGGGCTGCCAGGCAGCTGGCAGAAGGTGGGACCTCAAGCCTCACAGCTGCTGTGCTCCACACCATCCATGTGCTTAGTGCCTATGCCAGCATTGGGCCTCTCACTGGGGTCTTCAGAGAGACAGGAGCCCTGGACCTGCTCATGGACATGCTGTGCAATCCTGAGCCTCAAATCCGTCGGAGTGCAGGCAAGATGCTACAGGCTCTGGCAGCCCACGATGCTGGTAAGACAGCTAGGGAAGAAGGAAGGCATTGGAGTGAATGGGGCTCAAAGGAATAAGAAAGAAAGAGGAGACAGTTTCCAACTCTTAAGAATACCTAGAACTTTTGGGGCATGGTGGTGTACACTGTAATCCCAGCTCTCGGAAAGCTGAGGTAGGAGGATCGCTATGAGTTCAAGACCAGCCTGGGCTACATAGTGAGTTCCAGGTCAGTCTCAACTACATAGTGAGACCCTGTGTCAAAAAAGAACACCTAGAACTTGATGACTGTCAGTTCAATGCAAAGGAGCAGATTATTAGGTTATTACAGGTAGATAAACAGGATAAAATGGTAGCACCTGGTGTCCATTCTCAGTGCAGTGACAGAGAAAGGAGAATGGGGTAGATTTGTGTTTTTAAAAACTGGGTGTAGGGTTGGGGATTTAGCTCAGTGGTCCGCCACCTGCCTCGAAAGTGCAAGGACCCATGGTTGATCTCCGGTACCAAAAAACAAAAAAAAACAGAAAAATTGTTATAGATTTACTAATTGTGAAATCAGTTTGTTGGGTTACAACCAATAGAAAAAAATCACTATGTAGCAGTTAGTATTTGTGAGTTTTGTAGCATGACATGTTCCTATGATCTGTGTGTATGTTTGTGCCAGGTTACCAAGTAAAATGTATATTTTGCTTGGTTCTCGGTCACAAAGAAACTTGAAAGCCTCTGGGAAAGGAGATAAAAAGCCTAGAAAGACAGGAGAAAGGTGGTGGGCATGGAGAAGATACCAGTTGGGTGTGGATTACAGGGAGTCGGGCTCAAGTCCTTCTGTCACTGAGCCAGCAAGATGGCATCGAGCAGCACATGGATTTTGACAGCCGCTATACTTTGCTGGAGCTGTTTGCAGAAACTACGTCCTCTGAAGAACACTGCATGGCCTTTGAGGGCATTCATCTGCCTCAGGTACTCTGCCAGCTGTGGGGAAGGCTGTATGCAAGGCCTTATTTTTTAAACTGTGGTTTGGGACTGTGTGTCAGCACCAGAGAGAGCTAGATAAATGAAGGTCCATGCCCCCTCCCCATTCAGAACTTCCAAGATTAAACTGGGTGTGGTGGCACATGCCTGTAACCCCAGCTACTCGAGAAGGTAGAGCAGGAGGATCACAAGCTTAATTCCAGTCTTGACAGTAAGTTAGCAAGACCCTGTCTCAAAAAATTTGAAAAAAAAAAATGGTCTAAGAACATTTTACTGTAGGGAAGGCATAGAGGGGGAAGGGAGAGGCCAGAGCCAGAAGATGAGCCTACACCAAGGATTGTGTCCTGTAGATCCCAGGAAAGCTGCTCTTCTCCCTGGTGAAGCGCTACCTGTGTGTCACTTCCCTGATGGATCAACTGAATAACAGCGCGGAAGCAGGCGCTGGAGACCAAAGCTCTCCATGCCCCACAAGGGAGAAAAGCCGGGGACAACGGGAGCTGGAGTTCAGTATGGCTGTGGGCAACCTCATCTCAGAGTTGTTGCGGAGCATGGGCTGGGCCCACAAGCTCAGCGAACAGAGCACATTACCACCCCAGCCACCTAGGTCCATCTTTCAGCCCTGCATTTCGGGGCCCCCTCTCTTACTTCCTACCATCATCACCACCCCCAGAAGGCAAGGATGGGCCTTCCGCCAGCGCTCGGAATTTTCTAGCCGTAGTGGCTACGGTGAGTATGTGCAGCAGGTGCTGCAGCCAGGCATGCAAGTGCGGATGCTGGATGATTACGAGGAGATCATGGCTGGGGACAAGGGCGAGTTCTGCCAGAGCAACAATGGCGTCCCCCCTGTGCAGGTGAGGAGCACACAATGGCAAACACTACTGGGGATCTGTTGTGGGTGAGGTATAGATGGGCTTCTATGCAGAAAGCTCTCATGCCACCCAGGGAGAAAACCCCCAGGGAATGGAAGTGGTAAAAGGCAGTCAGCAAATAGGGGTGGGGGTGGCTGTGAGATCATGGAGAGATTCCTACCAGGAAGCAGAAGTGATTCATTGTAATACCCAACTGTTAGCACCAGGAGAGGCAGGGCCCACTCCTGAGAGGTATAGAAGCCTCTGGTTATATATTTTCCCAAGCTCAGAGAGGTGTATACCTGAGGGTGTGACCTACAGCTAGGCCTGAGCAATACTCGGCAGCCTTTGCAACCCAGAGCTCCAGGGCCGACCCCTCTCTCCTTCCCCTGTGCCAGGTCTTCTGGCAGTCGACTGGCCGTACCTACTGGGTATACTGGCACATGTTGGAGATCCTGGGTCGAGAGGAAGCTACTGGGGATGCAGCTTCAGCAACTATGGAGAAGAGGACAGGGACTACTATACTAGGCACAGGTGAGCCTAAGATGTGGTTGGCATATCTTTAACCAGAGGAATGGCATTTGGCAAGAAGCCATCTCCCTGGGAACTCCCAGGAAGCCTCTCCCTGGGAGAGGTTTAGATCTTGGCTCTTTTCCCTGCTGGGTGCAAATACCCCTGTGCCTGCATCTTCAGTAATTCCCTCCTGGGACTGGAAACCCGTGGATAGTCTCTACTCTTTGCCATACCTCTGGCCTGAGCCAAAGAAGCACGAAGAAGTGGGGTACCTGACCCAGGCTGAATGGTGGGAGCTGCTTTTCTTCATCAAGAAGTTGGATATAAGTGAGCAGCAGCCAATTTTCCAGAATCTTCGAGAAAAACTGAAGGAGGTATTGAGATCAGGATGGGTGGAGGGTGATAGTCATGAGGTTAGAAAGGGGAATGCTAGAGAAAGTTCTAGCAGTGGGTTCCCACTTAAAGTTGAGGATAGAGGGCTGGGTCTCCTTGGGGGAGGAGACATTCTCAGAGTGTCTACTATGTAGAGGGTATGAGACAAGTGGGTGTGGCCACATTTTCTGTTACTGTCCCCAAAATCTTGGTATCTACTTGTCCCTAAGATGCACACTCTCTGTGTTTACAGAACCTGCGTGAAGAGGCCCTGGGCGAGCTCTCTGTGCCAGTGGAGATGGCTGAGGGCCTGCTGCAGGTGCTCTGTAGTCGGTTGGAGGGCATCACCCTCTGTGACCTGCTCAGCTCCCAGATCTACACCAAGTATGGGCTGCTCTCTGATAAAACCAGCAGCTCATCATCTTCACAAAGTCACTCCTGTACCCCAGATCCCCAAGAGGAGTCCAAGTCAGAGGCTAGCTTCTCGGAGGAAGAGCCCTCTAAAGCAGAACCAGAGCCTGCCAAGGCCAAGACTGAGTCCCCCATGGCACAGAGTGACTCACAACTGTTTAACCAGCTCCTGGTGGCTGAGGGGATGGCTCCACCCCCGAAGATGAAGGTGGCAGCCAGTGGTGAGTTACATTCTGGGAGCAGAGAGCAAAGATATTGCCACAAGTCCTGGCTGGGCCCAGTAGAAGATATGGACAGTCAGGGCAGAGTTAGAGCCTTGTAGTAAGCCCCCTGAAACCTGCCTCCGTCCTTGCTTTGATTTGGATCGTGTAATCAGCCACTGTCTCCTGCCTTCGGTATCTCTGGAAAAAGACGGTCCATTTTCCCGGGTTTCTTCATCTTCCCTGTTTGATTAGACTGCTCCATAGTTGGGAAAGTTCCAAGTGCAAGACAGTAATAACAAATGTATTTAAATATTGGTGGGAAGACTGGGCTTATCCTTTAAAGACTTTCTTCCTGGAAATACCTCTGTTCTTTAGCCACTGCCTTTCCTTCACCAATTTCAGAAATGGCTAGAACCTTGCGGGTCCCTGGTCCACTCAGCTCCTTGGATCAGCATGTGGTAGCAGTCGCAGCCACCATGCAGATATCCAGCTCGGACACAGACCTGCAGCTTTCGGGGCTCTATGCCCTTTGTCAGACTGTGGAAGAGATCACTGAGCGGAACCACCCCCTGGTCCATCCCAACAGATTGCTGAGGTTAGCATGACACCAAGGGAAGAGGTTTAGGTCGATGCTGGGCAGTTAAAATGGTGATGGGGGGAAGGAGCAATGAGATCAGAATTAGAAAGGCTGAGTGTGAAGGAGGGGTCAGTTGAGCAGCCAAGCAGTGGGTGTTCAGATATTCCTGAAGCTCCTCTGTGCTAGGGTTTTACATGCATTCTGTTATCCTTAACACCAAAGAAGCACTGATAGGATTGTTGTTCCATTAGTAGTAGTAGTAGCAGTCGTCATCATAGCAGTAGTAGTAGTAGTATTGCTTGGGTGGAAAAACTGAAGCTTAGAGATTTTGTTTGTTTGTTTGGTACTGGAGAATCGAACTCCGTTCCTTGCACTTGCAAGGCAGGTAGCAGAACCACTGAGTTAAATCCTTGGCCCTTGTTTGTTTGTTTGTTTTTTTAGACAGGGTCTCACTTTGTAATTCGGGCTGGCCCTGAACTCACTATGTAGCCCAGGATAGCCTCAAACTTGTGATCTTCCTGCCTCTGCCTCCTGAGTGCTGGGATCATAGGCATGTGCCACCATGCCCAGCAGAGACTTAAGGAGTTTAAGTTAACTTGTTCAGAATTCTGCATATAGCAGAGCCAGGATTCAAACCTAGATCCTTTCAGCTCTGGAATTTAAGTTTCTTCTCATAAATTTTTTTCTTCTATCCTTACTTTCTTTTTACCTTTAAAGTTTCTCCTCTTCTTTCTCCTTTTCCTTCTCTTCATCGTCATCCTCCCCTCTTCCTTTTCATCTTATTTATCCTCCACCTACCCTTCCTTTCCCTTTTCTTCCTTCCTCCATCTCTCCCTTCTCTTCCTTTTTTTTTTTTTTTTTTTTTTTTTCAGTACTAGGCCTTCACACTGAACTATATCCCTAGCGCTTTTTTGTTTTTACTTTTTTCTGGGGGGTTTTGGGGGCAGGATCTTGCTAAGTCACTACTAAATTACCCAGGATGGGCAGAAATGAAATCATCTTGCCTCAACCTCCCAGAATGCCAGAATTATAGACATACCTCTTCATGCCTGCACTTTACTTCTTAATTATACAATTAACACAACAAAAATGCTTTTTTTTTTTTGGTGTTTTGGTTTTTTTGAGCCAGGGTCTCACTATGTAGTTCAGTCTGCTCTGGAACTCACTGTATAGCCCACTGTGTAGTCTCAAACTTGCAGCAATCCTCCTGCCTCAGCCTCCCAAGTGCTGGGATTATAGGCATGCACCAGCACGCTCAGCAAAAATGTATTTCTTAAAGAGATCAGTATAAAAGAACATAGAACAAAAAGCTCCTTTTCACCAGTTACTAATCTGGTGCATCCTTCATCTCCAAATTTAATTTGTAGTTGTAGTTTTGGAAAAAGCACTTTTAAAGTATTTATAAATTTTAAATTTCTTTAGCTGGTACATAAAAACAAAAAGCATACATATTATTCAAGTGGGAATGGAGCATTTCCTGAGTTTTATTTGGTACCGGGGTTGGAACCTTGCACTTGCCAAGCAGGCACACAGTGCCTCTGAGCTAAACCCCTGGCCCTATTTGTTTGTTTTTGTGGTACTGAGAACTATTGAACCCAGGGCTTTCACACTGAGCTACAGCCTCAGCTTTTTAATTTATTTTATTATTTTGAGATAGGATCTCATTAAATCTGTAAATTGCAAAAGCTGGACTCGAACTTGTAATCCTTCTGCCATATCCTCCCAGAGTGCTGGGATTACCAGTGGATACCACTGTACTCGGCTGAATTTGTGTTTTTATATATGTAATCACACTGTACTTGCTTTTGTGACTTTTTTGTGTCCCCACTCAATACTTCTCAGGATTTCCGTGTCAGTCTTTTGGGGGCTGCCCATTATTTTCATTGCTGCATAGAACTCTGAATTGGCTACAACCAATTACACTATTCTAATAGATCTGTTTTCTCTACTTCTGCCAACACTGGATGTTCTTTTCTTAATTAGTCAAATTGACAAAATTTTATATGATTGGTGTCTCTTTGTTTTCTTAGTTCTGTTGAAGTTAGGCATATTTTCATGCATTTATTTCTTTGTTCCTTTCTTCTTTAAATATTTTATTCTTTTTTTTTTTTCTGTGTACTGGGAATTGAACTCAGGACCTTGCACTTGCCAGGCAAGTACAGCGCCACTGAGCTAAATCCCCAGCCTCCTAAATATTTCATTCTTGGCCCACTTTTTTATTGGGTTATTGCTTTTCTTTTTCACAAATTTATAGACATTCTGCATAGTAAACTTTTGTTGTTTATATCCAAATATTTTATCCTTTAAAAAATCTTTTTTTTTTTAATACTAGGATTGATCTCAGGACTTTGCTCTTGCAAGGCAGGTGCGGTGCCCCTGAGCTGAAGCCCCAGCCCTAAAAATCACATTTTTGTGGCTATCAAAGAATATATGCTCACTGTAAAAAAAAGTTAGAAAAATGGGAAGATAAAAATCATCTGAAAGCTCTTTATGCAGAGATGAGCAGTGTTAATGTTTTGATAAACATCCTTATATTTCTGTATCTAGTCCTAGACATTATCCATGTGTATTAGGCAGATCATAATAAGTCCAATCCATAGAAGCAGCTGTGTATTTAAAGTATATTTGGTTTGCCCTGAGTCCTCATAGATTTCTGAGAAAAGACAGATCAAAGCAGAACATCTCCAGTGCCTTTGTTTACCTTCTGTTGCAGAAGTTGTTTATTTGTATTGTTTCCCTCCATGATTCCCAGGCCACCTCCTCATTTGCACCTGTCACTGTAGAGAAAAGTGTCAATACCTACTTGGGGAATTTTTGGAGTTTTTTGATAATGGAGATCAAACTCAAGACCTTGCACTTGCAAGGCAGTTATGGTGCCACTGAGCTAAATCCCCGGCACCCTGCTTGGGGTTCTTTTGCCTCTCATGGCTGAGCTCACTGTGAGCTCGGAACTCTGGGGTCCTTCCTTTTCCTTCACATCAGCATTTCTAGTCAGCCTTTTTTCCCAGCTTATGTTATGTGTCTTAATTTTGTTTATAGTATCTTTCATTATACTGAAGTTTAAAAGTTTTTATGTTAACTATAATTTTAAACATTTTTATGGAGCTGGGTGTGGTGGTGCACACCTGTAGTCCCTGCACTTGGGAGGCTGAGTCAGGAAGATTGTAATGAGTTTGAGGCCAGCCTCAGCTGCACAGTAAGTCCAAGGCCAGCCTGGACTACAAGGCGAGACCCTGTCTCAAAACCCCCGAAAACAAAAACAAAATGTACGTATGGCTTCTAGATTTTCTATTCTGTTAAAGTTTATTTTATACCAGGATTAGAAAAATATTTCTTTTATTTTTTTATTTTTTGATACCAGGGATCAAACTCGGGTCCTCACGCTTGCGAGGCAGGCAGCGGCACCACTGAGCTAATTCCCCGGCCCAGAAAAATATTTTCTTAAGTTTTCTAAACATATGTATTTTTTAAAAACTATTCATTTAAAAATCCTTTTGCAGTGGTGTGAAGTAGAGCTTCAGCTCCAGTTTATGCTAGCGGATAGCCAGGTGTCTCAGCTTCACACTTCTGGAGAGAGGGATTGTTGCTGAGAATTGAAGCTAGGATCTTATATATGCTAAATACTTTCTCTGAGCTGTACTCCTAGCCCAACATCAGTTTGGAAATGGTCCATCCTTTCAAAGGTGCCATCCTTTTAATGACGGCAAGAGATGCCACCCTTATCTCTCTAGTGATCTATTGATCTGTTTGTTTATTCTGTATCAATTCCATATTTTATTTTGATGCCAGGGATTTAGTCAGTGGTTCCGCCGCCTGCCTTGCAAGTGCAAGGTCCCAAGTTTGATACCCAGTACCCAAAACAAACAAACAAACATTTAATTTTGTTTTATTTATGTACATATGTATGTATGTATTTATTGAGACAGTGAGTTCAGGGTGGCCTTGAACTCACTATGTAGCCCAGGCTGGCTTCAAAGTTGTGACAATCCTCTTGCCCCAGCCTCCTGAGTGCTGGTATTACAGGCATGTGCCACCCCACCTGGCTAGAGTTTTAATTATTATGTTTATAATTACACTTGGAAGACTATAGGCCAAACCTGTTTTCTCCCCAAACATCCCTTGACTATTCTTGTATATTTTCTTTCTCTTTCTCAATCTGTCTGTCATTAAAACAAAACAAAACAAAACAAAAAAAACTTAAGGCATTTTTAGTAGAATTATACTGAATTCATTTGAAATGATAAGCTAGAGTTTGTAACCACTTTTCCCCACTGCCTCTATAAGGGGCCAGTGAGACTATGGAGGGGAGGGGACCCCGAGTTAGACTGAGACAAGAAGAACATGCTGGAGAGTGTGGACTGCATCTCGATGGATGAGGGGGCTGGACAGGAGGCAACTGGTATCATGGCCCAGAAGTTGGGCAAGACTATTTGGGATGAGGAATCCCAGGGTCTCATCTCTTCTCAGGGAGAAGCTAGTGAAGACACTGGTAGAGTTGCTGACCAACCAGGTGGGAAAGAAGATGGTGGTGGTACTGGCCCTACGTCTCCTTTACCTGCTCATGAACAAGCATGAGTGGCGCCCACTCTTTGCTAGGGAGGGTGGCATCTACGCTGTGCTGGTTTGCATGCAAGAATATAAAACTTCCGCCTTGGTGCAGCAGGCAGGGCTGGCGGTGAGTGCATTGGGCCCAGTGGGAAGGAGTGAGGGGCAAGACAGGCAGGCTGGGGGAGTGCCCGTCTTCAGGAAAAGTTGTGACCAGGGTGTAGACATGGCAATGGGAAGATGCAGAAGGATTTAAAAGTGCAGTCCAGGAAGTCTTGGCGATTGTGTGCATGACTGGAGAAAAGGAGAAGAGAGTTTTTGAGAATAGTGCTCAGCTTTAAAATGGAGAAGCAGGGTACATCATGAAGCCCCTGCTAAGTGAGATGAACTTTCAGGAAGCAGTGGTATGGTAAAAAGGTCAAGGGCTGAAGTTTTAGGTATATCGAGTGTCCCGGGCCTTTTATAATTACAGTTAGGTATCTGATTAAAGACTGGTATTCTAGACAAATAATTTGGGTAAATGATTGGAACAGCTTGGAACAGCTGTCCAGGGGACCTTACAGTTGGCTTTCTGACTACTTGGCATAGAAGTCCTGGAGGGTGGTGAAGAAAGTGTGACTGTATATCGTTATGGTTCCTCAGTGGGACAAATGGGCTTCAGCCAAAGCACTTCTGAGACTGGATTCCAACAGCACAATGGTTACAAGAGCAGCCATATAGTCATGGGCTAGGCCTCATGTGCTCGAAGAATTCCTTGATCCTCTCAAATTGTACACTTACCCTGATTGCAAGCTCTTGCCCATAATAATATTGCATCATCTTGTTCATAATTTGAGATCTACAGAATTCAGCTAATTAGGGCGGAGTGGGAGAACGGGAGAGAGCTTCATTACCTGGTGCCCTCCCCTCCCCTTCCCTTCACCTTTGCTGTCCCTCACTACCTCCTCCACTTCCAGCTCTTAGGCTATGTATTTGCAGTCAGTTCCGCTGCTCCAAAGCTTGAGGTCTAGAGAAATAGCCCTGGCCCTCCCCTGCCTCACGGCAGCTCTGTCCACTCTTAACTAAGCTGCGTTCTCCCCACAGGCACTGAAGATGCTGGCCATTGCCAGCTCCTCGGAGATTCCCACTTTTGATTCTATCCAGCCTTCGTTTGATGTCCAGATGACCAGAGAGATCTTCGCCAGCATTGACTCAGCCACACGGCCGGGCTCTGAGAGTCTGCTTCTTACTATCCCGGCAGCAGTGGTTTTGATGCTGAATACCGAAGGGTCAGGACATTGCCCTCAAACTCCAGGCTCTAGCTAAGCCCTGCATCCCACTTCTTGCCCAGAAATTTCCTTACATTGTCATGTCTGAGTTAAACATGGGTGAACTCCTCTGAATGTCACTGGAAGCAAGGCCGAGTGGTTGGGGGTAGGGAAAGTGCTAGAACGAATTCTGCCCTTCCTTCCTGAGTGTCCAAGGTCAGGGGTCCTTCCTCAGAGGGACCACTGGAGCCCTTTCCCCTGTCCGCACTCCACACCTGCTTCCCTGCTTCCTTGCATTCACTGTCATTTCTCCCTGGGTCGTCTCCCTTCTCCCAGGTGCTCCTCAGCAGTGAGAAATGGCCTGCTCCTGCTCAACCTGCTTTTGTGCAACCATCACACTCTGGGAGACCAGCTCATTACCTGTGAGCTAAGAGACACTTTATTTAGACATGCAAAAATAACACCAGCGACAGAACCCATGCCTACCACACGCACCGTCCTCATGATGCTTCTCAACCACTACTCAGAGCCACCAGGAAGTTCTGAGCGTGCAGGTACCATTGTGTGTGTGAGGCGGGCAGGGGTTATTCTGAGGACTCCTGCAGAGCCAGCTGCTGGCCAGAGGGCAAGGCTTATGTGCTAGTCCCTTATGGAAAGACATGAGGAGCCCTCAGGTAATGAGTGAAGCTTTCGGTGTTTAAGTTAGGTTTTTTGTAGACTTCCTGACAAAGGGGAGGAAACTCTAGATAAGTGCCAGGAAATTGCCTTCTCAGAGTGGCCTTAAACATAGGCAGATGCTGATTAGTGTTGGCTAGGTTGGTCCAATCTTTTTAAATTTTTTTTGGTACTGGGGATCGAACTCGGGACCTTTTGCTTGTGAGGAAAGTGATGGAACCATTGAGCTAAATCCCTGGCCCGGTTTGTTCATTCTTAATGAAAACTAGAAAATTGGTTGAATTAACAAATAGGGAGGATTTCTATCAATAAATTATAATTTATGCAACAGAAAGTTTGTGACTAGAAACATGAAATACTGGTGTTGAAATCCTTTGTGTTTAAAAAAAGTGAGCTGAGGGGCCGGGGGTTTGGCTCACTGGTTGCCTGCCTCGCAAGCACAAGGGGGGGAGTTTGATCCCTGGCACCAAAAAAAACCCAAAAAACAAAAACAAGTGAGCCAGGTGTGGTGGTACATGCCTGTAATCCCAGCACCTGGGAGGCTGAGGCAGGAGGATTGCTGAGTTCGAGACCAGCCTGGGCTACATAGTGAGTTCTAGGTCAGTCTCAACTACACAATGAAACCCTGTCTCGAAAAACCAAAAATAAATAAATAAATACTAAAAACAAGTGAAAACCCAGAAGTATGGATGGATATTGAAATAATCAATATGGGTATATATCTTTTAGCATGCATATCCACTGTATATACTAGGCTATATAAAATGAAATTATACCAGCTAGTAGTTATTATACCTAATACTTAATAAAAAAAGGTAATTGTTTATGATAGTAAAAATGTGTTGTATTTAACTTGACAGTGTTTACTAGATTTTTCTTTCAAATGTAGTAAGGTCTGTATTGTGAACTAAAAAAAACACCTTTCATAGTTTGATAAAAACCATAAACATCCTCGATATGGGAAGAAAATTTGGGGCTGATTTTCTGGACTTGTTTCTCAGTTTGAGCACCTTGTAAGACTTCCCTACATCTACACTTCTTCCTCTGGTCCATCCAGCTTCGGCACTGGAGATCCCCTGTGGCCAGGACCAGGATGGGTCCCCTGAGCTGCTGATTCAGTCCCTAGTGGGAGATCCATCTGCGGAACTGCTCCTGGACCTGGAGTGGGTGATTTGCCATGAGGGCGGCTCAGGGAGTGCTGTGAGGCCCCTCCTCAAGTACCTTCAGCAGGAGACCCAACCCTTCCTGCTGTTGCTGAGGACTCTGGATGCCCCTGGACCCAACAAAACTGTTCTGCTGACCGTGCTGAGGTGAGAGGCCTGCCCAGGCACCCATGCACTCGGAGTTAGGGGACCGTGGGGACTTCACTTGTTTGCATCCCCTCACCAGAGTCCTGACTCGACTGCTGGATTACCCCGAGGCCATGATCCTCCCCTGGCATGAAATCCTGGAGCCCTGCCTCAACTGCCTGAGTGGCCCTGGCAGCGACTTGGAGGTATCAGGGCCCTGGCAGGGGTGGAGGAGGGAGAAGCAGCAGCTGGGTCCTACCTGCTGCCTCTTGAGGCTCAAGGGTACAGCAGAGCCTTTACAAATGAGGGCACTGGATAGAGGGTAGAGAGAGAAAGGCTGATGTCAAAGAGTCTCTGAAGCCAGGTGTAGTGGTGCATACCTATAATCTCAGCACTCTGGGGGCTAAGGCAGGAGGATCATCACAAGTTTGAGGACAGCCTGGGCTACATGATGAGTTCAAGGCCAGGCTGAACTATATAATGAGACCCTATCTCAAGAAAAGAATCTCTGAAACTGGGGTCTTGGAAGCATTAACCTGTGTCTGCACCTGGATTTTAGACTCTGGTCTTAGACTTCTCTTAAGCACACTCTCATCAATTCCAACAGCCTTTGTGCTCTACCAGTGAGGATTTGGGCACTGTGGAGGAGGCTCGGGCACCTAGACTGGCTCTTGCTGTGGCATGGCCCTGGAAGGAAGAGGCTGGAAAACTGCCCAAGTTCTGATGCTGCCAAATTACTCTGTTGTTTCATTACCCTGTGTTCTGCTGCACTCTGGCTTGGTGTTCTCCTTTCCTTGGGCTTTCACATTTATTAAAAAATCTCAGCCACCACACAGCCCTCAACCTTTACCTGCCTGCCCTTTTTCCCCATAAAATAATCCGTGTGGCTCTGGCGCAGATTGTTCAGGAGCTGATCTGCTTCCTGCATCACTTGGCTTCAATGCATAAGGATTATGCAGTGCTGCTCTGCTGCCTGGGTACCAAGGAGGCTCTTTCCAAAGTCCTGGACAAGCACTCAGCTCAGCTCCTGCTGGCCTCTGAGCTTCGAGACCTGGTGATAGACTGTGAGAAATATGCCCAGCTCTACAGCAACCTCACCTCCAGCATCCTGGCTGGCTGCATCCAGGTGAGGAGGGCATGTTATTGCAGAGCTGAGAGGATATGGGCCAGGAACAGAGGAACAGTGGAAGGGTGTGCCAAGTGTCCCTTTTGGGATCCCTGTTTGGCGGAAGTGGCAGAAAATCTGCAGCAGTTGGAACAGAAAGAGTCTGAGTGTTCCATGCTGCTTGACCTTTTCTCTATGTTCTGTGTGTTTCTCTGTGTTCTTCCTTCTGCACTCCTCCCCTTTTCCCCGATGTTTGGACTGCAGATGGTGCTGGGCCAGATCGAAGACCACAGGCGAACCCAAAGGCCTATCAACATCCCTTTCTTTGATGTGTTCCTCAGGCATCTCTGCCAGGGTTAGTGCCCTGCTCTGCTGTCTCCTGACTTCCACCAGCATCTGTTCGTCCCTTCCCACCCTCTAGACCTTTTCCTTATTTCTTTCTCAACTGACCAGCCTGTGGCCTTCACCCCTTCCTACCTGCCCCAGGCTCCAGCGTGGATGTGAAGGAGGACAAGTGCTGGGAGAAGGTGGAGGTGTCCTCCAACCCACACCGGGCCAGCAAGCTGACGGACCGCAACCCCAAGACCTACTGGGAGTCCAATGGCAGCACCGGCTCCCACCACATCACCTTGCACATGCACCGTGGTGTTCTTGTTAGGTGTGGGCACACCCATGTGCAAGCACTCACATACATGCACACAGGAATATTCTGCTGTGCTCATCACATCTTCAGGCCCTCACATGTACATAGCTCCATCTGTAACCCCTGTTTCTGAGGGTTGTGCTTGAATCCCATCTGCGCCACAGACACCTAGACACATTGTCCTGTGTGCTGTGTGGCCTGTAGACACCCCTTACTCCCTGACCTGGTGAGCTGTACCCCAGTAGGTACAGATATCTCTGCCTGTGCTAGTGTTAAGGGAGATCAGTAACTCACCCAGACTTCCTGTGGGTATTTGTTTAATGCCAAGCATTTGTGCCTGGCACTGTACAAGGGTCTGGAGATACAAGGACACTGAATACAGTTCCTGAATTCAGGCAACTTGCAGTTAGGGAGCAAAGGTAGAAAATCAGTTCAAAGGCCTGGCATGGTGGTGCATGCCTGTAATCCCAGCACTTGGGAGCCTGAGGTAGGAGGATTGCCACGAATTCAATGCTAGCCTGGCCACATAGTGTCTCAGAAACAAGCAACAACAACAAAAAACATGGGCTGGTCATGGCACACACCTGATGTTCTCCCAGGTAGGGAGGCTAAGGCAGGAGGATCTCAAGTCCAGGAGTTCAAGGCCAGCCTGGGAAACATCTTTAAAAAAGGAAGAAAAGAAAAAGCAAAAGGCTGATAGGTATCCTTAGGCTGATGGAGGGTTGGAGAAGGCTTCCTTCCAGAAGGAGGGATTGACTGAACTGAGGTTTGAGGTTGAACTCAGACCCTGGCTCTGGCTGATTGCTTTATCCTCTCTCAGGCAGCTGACTCTGCTGGTGGCCAGTGAGGACTCGAGTTACATGCCAGCCAGAGTGGTGGTGTTTGGGGGTGACAGCCCCAGCAGCATCAGTACTGAGCTCAGTACGGTGGGTAGTCTTCCCCTTCTTCCTTCTGGTAGGCCAGCCTTGCACGCCTTGAGAGTGGGACTGGGAATAAGGAACCGTGTGGATCCCTGGGCCAAGGTGAAGGGCACATCCCGTAAACATTGTGGGTGCTATCAGTTGGCCTTCCGGCCCTGCTGCTGTTGATAACTGCTCTGTATCTTCTCTCGCTCTGCCAGATTAATGTGATGCCCTCTGCCAGCCGGGTGACTCTCCTGGAGAACCTGACCCGCTTTTGGCCCATCATCCAGATCCGAATAAAGCGCTGCCAGCAGGTGGGGCTGGGGAGGGACGGGCTGAGGGTCAAGAGGTGGGTGGCGCTGTGGCTTTGAGGGGCTAGGCTGGCTTCTTGGCCTGGGCTGTCCTTCCCCTCCTTAGTGTGCTTGAGAGGTGCTGCGGGAGCCTGTTGAGACCAGATATTCAGAGGTGTACTTTGGCAGCTTGAGGGATCAGGGCATGAGACCTGGCCTTGGTAGTACATGGTGGCTCCGGTGGCTTAGGCGACAGATGAGACTTTGTGTGTTGCAGGGTGGCATTGACACACGGGTTCGGGGTGTGGAGGTCCTGGGCCCCAAGCCCACTTTCTGGCCACTGTTCCGGGAGCTACTGTGTCGCCGTACCTGTCTCTTCTACACGATTCGGGCACAAGCCTGGAGCCAAGACATAGCAGAGGACCACAGGCGCCTCCTCCAGCTTTGTCCCAGGTGGGTGGGACACTAGGGAGGAGGATGCTTAGGGTACTAGGGCCCTCTGAGGCACAGTGTCAGGAGATGTTCTTCCAGGCAGGTACAGCTTTCAGCCAGGCCTCGAGGAGCTATGAACATAGGTGGGCTATGTGCACTGACCAGGGAGAGCTGGGAGGACCAGGTGTGGGGAAGTGGGAGATGGCCGGCATCTAGGTGAGCACTTTAGGGAAATTTGTGTCTTGAATACTTGACCATCCACTCTTTGTTCCCAGACTGAACAAGGTTTTACGCCATGAACAGAATTTTGCCAGTCGCTTCCTCCCTGACGAGGAGGCTGCCCAGGCACTGGGAAAGACCTGCTGGGAGGCCCTGGTCAGCCCTCTGGTGCAGAACATCACCTCGCCTGGTAACATCCCGGCCCTGACCCTGATGGTTGCTTCTTGGGATTATTACCAGGGTCCCCTGAGTTAACATTTTTGGTTCTTTTGGTTCCTGTGTCTGTCCCAAAGTCTGTCACCTCAGTGTTTTTCTCTCCTTAGCACTCCAGGGACTATTCCCTGAGACTCTGGCATTTGAATCTTCCTCTGCCCTACCCCACTCTGTTACCATGTCCCCAGACTCCAGCTGAAGCAGACTTTGGCCACCCTAAAATCTTTTTGTACAATTGCTCTGTCTCCCTCCTTCCTAGCCATTCTTCCTTGTGAACATCTGTTCCTGGCTATCTTCTTGCAGATGCCAAAGGTGTGAGCTCCCTGGGATGGCTGCTGGATCAGTATCTGGAGCGCAGAGAGAGCCCTCAGGGCCCCCTGAGTCAAGCAACATCCTTCACCTCTCAAGTTCGGCGTCTTTGCCACTTGCTGGTGCATGTAGAGCCTTCTCTGGGGTCTTCTTCTGAGCCACCAGCTCGGCTCTGTGAGTCCCAGCCATGGCTTGCCGAGCTAAGGATCTGGGCTCCTTCTGATGCCTTTCTAGATCTCTGGGGCCATTGCCTTTTCTGGGGGTGAGCACCAAAGACTCCTGGACTCACCTGAGGGTTGGTTGCATCCCCTTGCTCTGTGCTTTGTCTCCACAGTCAGCAAGAACAGTAAGGGGTGCAACCCGAGCCCTGTGCCTCCGCCAGTTCCTGCAAGCAGCAGCCTGAGGAACATCACCCAGTGCTGGCTGAACGTGGTGCAGGCACAGGTGGGCAGCAGCAGACTGAGGTTGGGGGGTGGAGTGCATCTTCTGTGTCACTTTGCTCTTCCTCTCCAGGTCAGCAGGTTCCTGGCTGCAGCCTGGAGGGTCCCTGACTTTGTGCCTCGGTACTGCAAACTCTATGAGCACTTGCAGAGAGCGGGCGCAGAACTCTTTGGGCCTCGGGCGGCCTTTACGCTGGCTCTGCACAGCGGCATCTCTGGCGCCCTGCTGCAGCAGTCCTTCCTCACTGCTGCCCATGTGAGTCTGAGCCCAGGAGTCTCCTCCTCCACCTTAATCTCCTCTCACTGCCCACCTTTCCACTCCGCCCCTCCTTCATGGCTTGCCCAGTGCCCTGCCTGTTGTTCCCAGGTGAGCGAGCAGTTTGCCAGGCACATTGACCAGCAGATCCATGGTGGCCTGCTTGGAGGAGCCCCAGGCATGGAGATGCTGTGGTGGCTTCAGCAGCACCTAGAGCCCATCATGGTCCTCTCAGGCCTGGAGTTGGCCACGACTTTTGAGCACTTCTATCAGTGAGTATAAGCCTGGGGAGGGAGGAAAGGGGAGGCTAGAGTATAGGAGGCTGAGATTGGACATTTAGAAGGAGGTGGTGGGGAGGAGAGGCAGGACACAGTGAGCGCCATGCACTGTTAGAAAAAGGAGGAGGGAAGGGTGAGGTGGGCCTGTGACAAGCTCAGGAACCTGCCTTCTGGCCTGGGTTGGACTGGGCCAGCGTGGCACCAGCACTGAGCTGGGTCTGTGTTACAGGCACTACATGGCTGACCGTCTGTTGAGTTTGGGCCCCAGCTGGCTGGAGGAGGCCGTGCTGGAGCAGATCGGCCTCTGCTTCCCCAACCGCCTCCCTCAGCTGATGTTGCAGAGCCTTCGCACCTCAGAGGAGCTGCAGCGCCAGTTCCACCTGTCCCAGCTCCAGCGGCTTGACTGGTTGCTCTTGGAGCAGGGGGACCAGGAAGAGCAGGACCTGGAAGAAGAGGAGGTAAAAGTAAGGGGAGAGAGAGTAGAAGAGCAAGAGAAAATTCGACTCTAGAGGGGAGCCCCCAGGCCCTCGAAATCCTTCTGTTCCCCAGGAGCAAGAACAGGAAGAGGAGGCCACGAAAGCACTATTTATAGATGATCCAAGCCCAGCAGTTTCTATCCTGGTCCTGTCCCCACGCTGCTGGCCAGTCTCCCCACTCTGCTACCTGCACCAGCCCAGAAAGTGCCTTACCCCGGAACTCTGTGACGCCCTGGACTGCTTCTCCAGGTTCTACAGCCAGAGTGAGGCGCTAGGAGAGGGAACTGGAGACTGGGTGACTTGGGGTGGCAAGAGAGGAAGAGGAGCGGACCATTAGACAGGAGTGTGTGGATGAGAAGAAATAGTTCAACAATCTAGGGAAGGATGCAGAGTGTAGTTCTTGGCTTCATTCATTTCTGTTCTCTTTAGTTCCTACCACTTCCTATGAGTTTGCTCTATTTTTTTTTTCTATTTTCAAGTTGTATGCTTATTTAATTTTTAGTCTTTTGGAATGTCTTCCCAATTCAAAGTATTTAAGGCAGCTGGGCACATGCCTATAATCCCAGAACTCTGGGAGGCTGGAGCAGGAGGATCACAAATTCGAGCCCAGCCTGCACAAGTTTGTAACTTAGTGAAACTCTGTCTCAAAAAACAAACAAACAAACAAACAACAAAATACTGGGGATGCAGCTGAGTGTGAAGGTCCTGGGTTCATTTCCCTGTTCATACTCCACCACACACATACATACCCCACTACACCCAAGTATTTAACGCTATTCTTTTCCCTCTTGGTACTGTTTAAGCTGCAACATTTTTTAAAAAATGTTTTTCCCCAGTATGGCAAAGGAAGAAAAGAAAGAAAAGAAGGAATACAGGGAGGAAGGGAGGGAGAGGCCCAGCCAGGGCAATTTAATGACTTAGTAAGGCCCTATCTGAAAATTAAAAAAAAAATTAAAACAGGCTCCAGATGTAGCTCAGTGCAGAGGCCTTGGGTTCAACTCCCAGTACCCCCCCACACACACGTTTACTGGGATCTAATTAGTATTCAGTGAAATATACATCCTCAGTTGTAAGGCTCAGTGAATGATTATACCCATGCACAACCCTTCCCCCAGATTAAGACATGATGTGTTTCCATCACCCCAAAGCCTTCCTCCTTTCTGTACCTCTTCCAGTCTCCATCTTTCACCATAGATGCTGTTATTCTTCCTTTCATTGCCTTTGATTTTTGCCTGTTTGTACATCATGTAAATGGAATTGTAGAGTATGCTCTGTTGAATCTGATTTATTGCATGCAATATAGTTGGGAGAATTATGTATAGTGGGCAGCTGAGTCATTAGTTTGTTCTTTGTATGCTAAGTTATATTACATCCTATGGATATTTTTTGGTTTGTTTTGGTTTTGGTTTTTGATTTTTGTTTTGTTTTTTGAGACAGGGTCTCACTTTGTAGTTCAGGCTGGCCTCAAACTCATAGCAATCCCAAATTCTGGGATTACAGGTGTGGGATTATCACCACACCCGCTTCATCTACTGAAAGAGATGTGCTAAAATCTATCTTTATGATGGTGATTTTTTTTGTTGTTGCAATATTGGGGATTGAATCTTTGCACTAAGGTACATCCCTAGCTCTTTTTTATTTGGAGGCAGTGTCTTGCTAAATTGGTAAGTTGCTCAGACTTGTGACCCTCCTGCCTCAGCTTCAGGATTCCAGGTGTGTTACAGCACACTTGGATCAATATGATAGTGAGTAAAACAAAAACAAAAAAACAACCTTCTAATCATGTCATTTTGCTTATGTATATTTTTGGCTGTGTTATTAGATACAAGTTTAAAATCATTTAGCAGTGCCTTCTGCTAGAACTTTCTATAATGACGGTAAAGTCCCTTTCCATCCTCTTTTATATGACATGGTTGTCGCACACTTGAAAAGTGGCTAATGTAATGGAGGACCTGAATACAATATTTAATTTTATTTAATCTTAACCAGTTTAAATATAAATAGTATGTGGCTAGTGACTATTGTAATGCCCTATGTAGGTTTAGAATCTTCATTGTAAATTGAACTTTATTATTATTAGGAAGTGACCTTCTTCCTAATGAGGCTTTTACTCTTATAGTTTCTCTCATAATAATAGTATATCATTGTTCTTTGGTTAGTATTTTCCTGGTATATTTTTTTCTATTTTTGCACTGAAAGTTTTTAGTCTTTTAGATTTCTTTTTACAGAAAAAATTTTACATCTAGGGCTAGGGATTAAGCTCAGTGGTTCCGCTGCCTGCCTCACAAGCACAAGGTCCTGAGTTCAATCTCTGGTACCAAAAAAAAATTTTTTTTAAATTTAGAGATAATTTCATAATTACAGAAAAATTTCAACAATGCAAAGAAGGGCCACATAAGCTTTATCCAGGTTTACCTTTTGTTACTGTTTCTTCTTATTTGCTGTCAGTGTATGGGCACATATACATGTATATATGTGTGGATGATTATAAGTACAGTGGACCCTCGAGTTATGACCAGCCTGACATATGAACAACTTGGGTTACAACCAAAATTTTAGTTTTAACTTAGGAACAACGTCTTGAGTTATGACCCAAATGCTGGCCACGTGTGCTTCCAGATGGTCTCAGATATGGATTTAACTCTTAAAGACTTCTGGAAGGAACATTACAACATCCTTTCCTGCATGGAGTTAATTGAGAAATCCTGGGCCACTGTCTCTCTAAGGACACCGAGATCTGCCTGTATAGAGGAGAGAACCTTTAAGGCTGTGTAGAGAGCAGCCTGAGCCTTCAATTGACCAACTTGAGTTATAGCCAGCCTTTGCAAACGAAATGAGTTCGTAAGTTAAGGGTCCACTGTATGTGTGCGAGTGTGTGTATGTATGTGTGTGTGTGTGTGTGTTTTTTTAATGTACTTTTTTCCAGAACCATTGAGTATTTCTGGTCCTTTGCACTTAAGTACCTTAGCACAAATTTCCTAAGAATAAAGGTTTTCTCTTACATAACAGCTGTTCACTTATACTTAATTTATCATTGGCCAGTACCTTAATCTACTACTATATTGTGGTATTGTCCACTGACCCATCAAGCCTTCTGTGACTTTGTTTTTTCATCCAGGAAGACATCCAACCTGGGGTCCTCTCTTACATTTTGTCATTGTGTCTCTTTTAATCTGGACTAGTTCCCCTTTGCTGATTAGGACATAGACATTTTGCAGAATATGGTTAATTTTAAATAACTATATGTAAAATAGGTCCTCTTTTAAGTGTGTGGTATTTTCTCATCATTGGACTCACGTTAGCAATCCCAGGTGGAATACTAAGTGTGTGATGCTATGTTCTCAAGGTCTTTCATCTTAGACACACAGTTTCCATCTGCCCCTCCATTTCTAATTCTTTTTTTGGAGTAGGGCTGGGCTTTGAACCCAGAGCTTTGCACTTTCTAGACATCTTCTCTGCCACTGCATTGTTGTGATGCCTGGTTGCATGATTTCTCTATGTAAAGTTAATATTTTTCCTTTGTTACTACTGATAAGCAATAAACCTACTTTAAAACCTTGCTAGTATTCTGTTCCTCACAATTTATCCCAGCATCATTTTACTTTGGACCTTAGCATATCCTTATGTTTTAGGCATGTACCTTGCAAATACTTGTAATGTATCTCTTTATTACAGCACTAGGGACTGAACCCAGGGTCTCACACATACTAGGTTTCACACATACTAGGTAAGTGCTTTACCACTGAGCTTACAGTCCCAGTCCTAAAATCTCATTTTAAACCTTTCAGCTTAATCATTATTATTATTGTATTCAGTGGATAATTTATCTTTGCCATGACGCCACCTGCTTTAGTCACTGTTCCTTCTGTATCTTGATCCTTCTAAATTTGATGCTCTTGTTCTTCGTTGTTTTTCTTGTTGCTGTTCTTCTCCTTCTTTTTTTGGCAGTAGCGGGGTGGGGTGGTTTTGAATCCAGGGGCTAAGTGCCAGCTAAGCAAGTACTCTGACACTGAGCTGCCTCCTCTGTCATTCATTCATTCATTCATTGACAGGCTCTTGCTAAGTTGTCCAGGCTGGCCTTAAGTTTTCCTGTCTCAGCCTCCCAAGTAGCTGAGATTGCAGCGTACGCCACTACACCCTGCCAGTTTCTTCTCTTTAAAGTACTTTCACTAGGGCTAGGGATTTAGCTCAGTGGTTCTGCTGCCTGCCTCACAAGTGCAAGGACCCAAGTTTGATCCCTGGTACCAAATAAATTAATAAATAAATAAAGTGCCTTCCCTGGAAGTCTTTCCATTGAGGGAGTATTGATGGAAAATCTTGCACGTTTCGATTTGTCTGAAAATGGGCTTTTACTCTCATTTAAGAGCTCTTTATTATAGTAAATTTCAAATATTATAAACATAGAATAGATAAACTCCAGTGTACCAATATATCCAACTCTCAACCAGTCTTATTTCATTCAGAACCCCCCAACATACTTTTTCCTACCCACCTAAACCTAAACGACAAGGATTCCCTTTTTAAAATCCAGGATGCTACCATTATTTACCTTAGAAGTTGAAGATAATTCCTAATATCATTAGATATATAGTCCATGTTCACACTTCCCTGGCTGTCCTGAGATTGTGGGTTATTTTGTTTACTGAGGATCCAGACAGGGCCCACATGCTAAACCTGGTTATCTCTTACATCTCCTTAAATCTACAGGTGTCTCCCTTTCTTTGCACCCTTTATAGCTATTTGTGGGGAACCTGAGTTGTTTGCCAAGTGCAGCTACCCCAGCTGCTTTTGCCATTTATTCCTGTGGTACCCTCTGGCATGTTCTCCTGTCTCCTTTATTTCCTGAAAACGGATACTTAGATGTAGAAGCATTTTATTTTTATTTTTTTGGTACCAGGGATTGAACTCAGGACCTTGTGCTTGGGAGGCAGGCGGCGGAACCACTGAGCTAAATCCCCAGCCCCAGAAGCATTTCTAGATTCAGGTTGGATTTCTTGGGCAGGGAAGTCTCACAGGTGGCATCATGCCTTCCCTCAAAAGGAATGTTACAGCCACCCCTGTCTCTGTGAGGCAGGACCAGCTCAGGGGATTTCAAGGGTACCATTCTCAACTGTACCTTATGTATAACCCACTTTCCCCTTGGCTCCCATCTCATCAGGAATGCAAGAGTGGTGCTCTGGCTGTTTGGCTTCTTCTGCCTGTACTAGCTAGAATATATTCTCTATTCAGAGAAGCTTCCTCTCAATTTTCCACTTATTCTAAAGTATACAGTTTATACTGGAGAGGCTTGATTCTTCCCTCTTCCTCTTCCTTTTAATTAGGGGTGTGTGTGTGTGTGTGTGTGTGTGTGTGTGTGTATGTGTGTGTGTGTGTGTTATTGGGGATTGAAACTAGGACTTCTGTATTGAGCTATATTCCCAGCCCTTATTGTTTTTTGTTTTGTTTTCAGCTCTGGGTCTCAAACCCAGGGCCTTATATATGTCAGGTAAATATGCCTTAACACATTCCTAGTCTTTTAACTCATTTAAAAATAACATTGATTCCCTGGTGTCCTCCAAAGATGACCAATGAGGTATTTTAAAAATATATATCAATAGCCAGGTGTGGTGGTGCACTCCTGTAATCCCAGCACTTGGTAGGCTGAGGCAGGAGGATCGCTGTGAGTTCGAGACCAGCCTGGGCTACATAGTGAGTTCCAGATCAGTCTCAACTGCATAGTAAAACCCTGTCTCAAAAAACAAACAAAAAACAAAAACAAACAAACAAAATATATATATAAAATTGCTGGGGATTTAGCCCAGTGATTCCATTGACTGCCTCACAAAAGCAGGGTTCTGAGTTTGATCACCAGTACCAAAAAAAAAAAACAAAAACAAAAAACAAAAAGCCCATGGATTTTAAAATATTTTGTGTTTCCATCACCCTTAACTCCCTCTTTCCCCCACTCTCTGTCTCCACCCTTCTCCTTGACCCTTCCTAGGTCAGAACAACCCAGTCCTGGATGTGGGCCCACATCGGTGGCTGCAGTGGACATGGCTGGGCCGTGCTGAGCTGCAGTTTGGGGACCAGACCTTGCATGTGTCCACTGTGCAGATGTGGCTGCTGCTGAATTTCAATCAGACAGAGGTATTCAGCTCCTTTGCCTTGCTAGGTCTTCTCTCCCCACTGTCTGTCTCTGTTCCCTAAGCCTGTTCCTTTTCCCTCCTCCTCTGTTCTTAGTTGCTCTGCCTCTCCCTTGAGTCCTCACAGGTCCCTTTTCCCCCACCAGGAGGTGTCAATAGAGACCTTGCTGAAGAGTTCTGACCTCTCCCCAGAGCTACTGCACCAGGCACTTGGGCCTCTCACCTCTGAGAGTGGACTTTTGTCCCTGCAGGAGGGTCAGGACTTGCCACCTGGGGGTAGGTCATTGCCATTATGAGCTGGCCAGGGCTCTGCTACAGGCCAGGGTCCTCAGAGTGGGGTTAGTGTGCAAGGGATGAGAGCCTAGGGGGTCCTCTTCATCCTCACTTGCGTGTGCCTCTGGGGCTGTGTTGCAGGGGTTCTGCGGCTTCGTGAGCCTGGGCCCTGGTCCTGCAGGGAGGAGCTGTGGCTTATACCTCCCCAAATGTACCTGAATGTAGAGAAGGATGAGGGCCGCACGCTGGAACAGAAGCGGAACCTCCTGAGCTGTCTTCTTGTCCGTATTCTCAAAGCCCATGGGGCAAAGGGCCTGCACATTGATAATCTGGTTTGTCTGGTAGGCAGAGGGGATCGTGTTGTCAGCAGAGAAAGGGAGTTCTGCTTAGGATGGGGTGGAATACAGCCGGGGGGGCGGGGGGTCAAGTCTCAAGAGACCTCCATCTGCATTTACTGTTACTGACAGGGCAATTGGAAGACAGAGATAAGACAGGAATGTTTATCATGCACATGATGGAGCCCTTTAGTCCTCACAATAATCCTATCAGATAATTATTACTGTTTTATTCCATGTGACAGGTAAAAGAGAGGCACAAAAAGGTTCATAACTTACTGTACAGCCAGTATGTGACAGAGCTGGGCATGGGGCCCAGGCAGGGTGCTCCTTTAGCAACAAGTGGCTGACTTCCTTTTCTCTTCCTGTCCAGGTGTTGGAGGCCTGGCAGAGGGGTCCCCATCCCCCAGGAAGCCTGGGCCATGCTGTCACTGGCAGTTCAGATGTCCTCTCTTGCATCCTGCACCTCCTAGGCCAGGGCTATGTGAAGCGGCAGGATAACCAGCCCCAGATCCTGGTGTATGCCACCCCTGAGCCCGTGACACCCTGCCGGGGTCAGGCAGATGTCCCCTTTTGTGGCAGCCAGAGCACTGAGACCTCCAAGCCTAGGTAGCTACCCCTTTGTCTCCTGGTGCAGGTAGGCAGGGTTGGACGGCCAGAGCCAGGCTGCCTGATGGGAAAATACTTACTGTCTTTCTTTGTCTAGTCCCATTTTCCCTGCCCCTGTATTTCTCCTACTTTGCTAGTCTTCCTTCCATGATCCCCACTGCCTGCTTCCTTCCAATCAGGAACCTTGTTGTCCCCATCTTCCTAGAGCTAGACACTCAGGCTCTTTTACAGATATCTCTTATTCTAAGCGAATATGAAGTACTCTTATGTGATGTGTATGGACTGCTAATTTTGAACTCTACTGGATAAAAAGCGGAAACTTTCAGATGGGTTATTCTACGAGGAATTCCCATAGGCTTTCCCTAGTTAGCCAGTAGCCCAAGAGCTTCCAACAGCAGATCCTCTTCACCAGAGCTGTTATGGCCTGCTGTTGGCATGGAGAATGAGTGAGTCCTCTAGGATGATCCATGCTGCAGCCACAGTGTGTGTACGCATCCCTGGGGTAGAGAAGGGCAGGCACTGGGCAGCTCACTCTCTGATAGTTATCCTGCTTATCCAAAGGCTGCACTGTGGAGAGAGGCTGTTAGCACTGCCCCACCTACTGTAGGTAGCCCAGTGTCTTGCCTCCTGCCCCCTGTACCCCTCAGCACCCCGGTCAGCACCTCTGTGGCAGGCTCTGCCCTGGCATTGGTTGGGGTGGTTGTCCAAAGGCTGCTGGGACAGGCATGAGAGGGGATGTCCAGATGGGGCTTGGCTAGGAGGTCTCCTGAGCTGGACAAGGGTTCTGATCACTGTCTGTTTTCCTTCCCCAAGCCCAGTGGCCATGGTTGCCCTGGCATCTCTCCAGCTGCCTGCAGGCCGCACCATGAGCCCACAGGAGGTGGAAGGGCTGATGGAGCAGACAGTGCGGCAGGTGCAAGAGACTCTGAACTTAGAGCTGGATGTGGCTCAGCATCTTCTGGCTCATTGCCACTGGAGTGCCGAGCAGCTGCTTCAGAGCTACAGTGATGACCCTGAGCTGCTACTGCTGGCAGCTGGGCTGCATGTGCCCCAGCCCCAGGTGGCCCCTGCACCGCCAGACCTCTGCCCTGTCTGTGTTGGTCCCCTGGGGCCTGGTGACGATCTGCCCTCCCTCTGCTGCCTGCACTCCTGCTGCAAGGTAAGGCCTGTTCCTCCCCACCCTGCCTCTCCTCCCTGGTCAGTTTCTGGGTCCAGCCCAGGGCTGTTACTTCCTAACCTGGGCAGTGTTGCATTGGTTGTTTGGTTCTGTTTCTGTGCTAGTTCTGATCACCAAAAATTCATGAATATTAGGCACATATTCTACACAGCTTCTAAGGCCCTTTGAACTAGTTTTGTCACGTGCCTTACCTCTGCAGGGTTAGTGACAGGATCTATTGGTAGCAGTGGTCTTACTCCACTGTACTTTATAATCATGGCAGCTTCTGAAAATTCTGATGCCCAGCCTGTGCTCCAGACCAGTGAAATCACCATTGCTGGCAGTGGAACCCAGGAAGTAGTAGTTTCAAAAGCTTCTCAGTGATTCTAGTTGTCAACCAAGGCTAAGAATGGTATGAGAAGTTCAATCCCTGGTACCAAAAAAAAGAATGGTATGAGGAGTGCATGGTGATGGCTTTCATCTGATGAGTCACTGCTCTAGCTGTGGTTTCCTCATCACCTCAGAACACCGTCTCCTCTTTATCCTGTGTTTCCATATAATGCACAGGTAAAGCACATGGTAGAGACCAGGAAACAGGAGCCAGCTGAGGGGTTAACAGGCAGGGAGCATGGGGGAGAGGTGTATCGTGGGCACGGGGTGCTCAGCCTGCCGTCCACCTGCAGCCCTGCAGAACACACTCATCACGGCAGCAACAGCAGGAGCCTCTTCAGTCCTGGAATTCTAGCTGCTGTCTCAACAGCGCCTCCCCGTGGTGGGTGACCAAGCTGTGGCATCTGCATGCAAGTGTGTCCCCAGCTCTTTCTCCTTCCTTTTGCTCTGTTTCTAACTTCTCTCCTCACCTAGGGCTTACTTAGGCTGCTTTCTTCCTGGGCTCTTGATTATTTCCTTTTACACTTGCATTTTCTCACTAAACTAAAACTGTTGTGGACCTGCCCTGTAACCAGTGCCAGGTGCTGTGTGAGGGAGTAGAAGAATCAGACAGGAAATGATGTGCAAGCTGCTAATGGCTTCTGACATGGCTGGGGCTCCCTGGGGCCAGGCACCATTGCTCATGTGCCAAGGTGTGTTACTTTGGAACAGTATCACAACATCAGTGTTTATTTTCCCCATTTTACAGAGGGCAGGTGGAGATACTAAGATGTCAAGTAATTTGTCCAAAGTCAGGATTTGTCCAAAGACAGTTGAAGCCAGGGCCCACCCTCCACAAAGCTGTGACAAGGGAGGGAAGGGGATACATGCAGGTGACCTCTTAGGAGGTAACGGTCCATTGTAGAAGTATGAACAAGGGGTCGTTGGGAGGCCTGAGGGGGTGACTCTGGGAGAGAGGGACAGGGACAGGGAAAAGCTGAGAAGTGCAGCATGTGGCAGGAGAGGAGGCTCAGGAAGTGATGGGGCCAGGGGGGGTGTGGGTCAGAGACAGAAGGCCACGGTGGGCTTAAACAGGGGAAGATTACTCTGGCCATCATGTGGGGAACAGGCTTGGAGGCAGAGGGGTGCAGCAGGGAGGCTGTCTTGCAGAGGCAGGAGGTGGTGTCTGGACCAGCAGCAGGGGTGATGAGAGAGGGACAGACTGGGATGTGCAGTGGGTAGAGCTGCTGAGGCTTGTGCATTAGGCGTCTCTGACCAGAACATCGGTGGGGACAGAATGTTTCACTCTTACTAAGGCGAGATTGGGGCTAGGGTAGGGTGGAAGCAGGTTCTTGAGAAAGTCAACCCATTGTGGTCATATGAAGTTTGGGCATGAGGGTAGGCAGGTGGACAGTGGGTTTTGAATGTGGGTTGAAATAACAGGGGCCTGGCTGATGTCAGCCAGGGAAAAAGGGCGGACTGGGTGCTGAGCCACCCTATACGACTCACAGACATGGAGCCAAACAGGTGACTGAGAAAGTCTCAGCTGAGAGATCCTGCAAAGTGGTCACAGATGAGCGGCACAAAGGGCAGCCCCAGAGATGTCAGAGGAGGGCAGCGCAGGGTCTGGAGTAGCAAGAGTCTTGCTCGCAGGCAGAACGGCAGAGGCAGGCAAGGGCACTGTGTCTCACTGCTTGGGCTGGATGTGGGACAGCAGCAGACCAGGAGAGGCTCCCTAAGAGAGTAGAACGGCCAGATAAGTCACGGGGACTCTGTGTCTACAAGAGTGGGCTCTGAACTTGGAGATTTCCCCTTGTTTTATCTCAAAACTGCAAGAATTTTCAAAGAAACTGTGGGGTTTTTCTTAAGTTTGTTATTTGGCGGTTGAATACAGGGCCTAACACATGCTAGGAAGTTCTCTACCACTGAGCTACATTTACAGTAACCTTAACAAAAAAATGCAAGAATTTTGCACCCAGTGCCCCAGTTTGTCTGGGCACGTTTCAGGGTAGAAAAGGTTAGGTTTGGTCCTTTTCTTGGAGTAAAAGTGGTCCAGTCAGAGGCTTTACACTTACCTTGTAGCCTTGTTGCCACCCCCCCCCCGCCACAGCCTCCTGGGGCTCAGCCCTGTCATTTTGGAGACCTTGTGGTGGAAATGGGCATGTAGGGGGTAAGGGCTGCTGATGGCGTGTTTGGAGGGCCCAGCCTCCTGAGCGTGCAGAGATGGGGAGGCCATTGGTCAGGGGTGCTTACCCCGGGCTGGGAGTGGGGACAATACCTGGATTTACTGTGGGGTGGAGATGGGGGAGCCAAAGAGAAGTTTGAGAGACGTGAGGCTTCCAGTGCTGGTGACTTGGGGGATGGTAGTACCCTTGGTCTGAACTTGGGACACTGTGGGCAAGTCTGAGTGGGGAGGAGGCTGTTTCTTGGAGCCTGAAGACCGAGGGCAGGGGAGGAGTGGCTGATCTTGGGAGAGACCAGAGTGGCGCTGCAGTGTGTGAGGCCAGTGCCCAGTAGGGACGGCTTCTTCTTCCTGGGGCTCCTTTCTCACTGGCCTTCCTGCTTTTTCCATGGCTTTTCTAGAATGTGGGTCTATCTCCTTTCTTCTGTTTTCTTTACTCATCTCCTACATGTCCCCTGGTAGTGGTGATAACTAGGCTAATGCCTGATCCACAGCCTCCAAGACAACTATGATCTGGGCCAATCCAGGAAAACTCATAGCAGCCAAAAGGATTGGGGTCAGTTATGAGCTGCACCCGGGAGCAAGTGGCCCTGGCCTTCCACATGGCCAGGGAGTGGTAGCCGCCTGTCTGAGTAGCTCCTTCCTGTGCCTCCCAGTCTTGCTGGAATGAGTATCTGACAACACGGATTGAGCAGAACCTTGTGCTTAACTGCACCTGCCCCATTGCTGACTGCCCTGCCCAGCCCACCAGAGCCTTCATCCATGCCGTTGTCTCCTCACCTGAGGTCATCTCGAAGGTATCCCTTCACTTCGGAGGGAGGCCGCAGGGGGCTGGAGGTGTGGTGACCCTGAGAGCCGTGCCCTTACTTTATGCCCCCTGTGGCCCTGCAGTACGAGAAGGCCCGCCTGCGCAGCTATGTGGAGAGCTGCTCCAACCTGACCTGGTGCACCAATCCCCAGGGCTGCGACCGCATCCTGTGCCGCCAGGGCCTGAGCTGCGGCACTGCATGCTCCAAGTGCGGCTGGGCCTCCTGCTTCAACTGTAGCTTCCCCGAGGTGCTGCCCCAACCCTGGACCAGGATTCTCCTCCCCACCCAGCCCCTCCCTGCCCCCCCACAGAGACCCTCCGTGTCCTTCCTCCCCCTCTGCCTCCCTGCTGGGCTCTGTCCTCCCACCTATTGTCCTCCAGATAGACCCATCTTCTTGCCCCACCCACACCTGCAGGGATGCCTGTCAGGGCTCAGCTGTGTCCTCACTGTCCCCCTTCTGAGCTAGGCTCACTACCCTGCCAGCTGTGGCCACATGTCGCAGTGGGTAGATGATGGTGGCTACTATGACGGCATGAGTGTGGAGGCCCAGAGCAAGCACCTGGCCAAGCTCATCTCCAAACGCTGCCCCAGCTGCCAGGCTCCCATCGAGAAGAATGAAGGGTGCCTGCAGTAAGGAGGGGGCACTGTGTATCCTGGGGGATTCAGGAGTGACGGGGAGAGGGGAAGCCAGCAGTAAGGAGAGACAGTAGGGCTGATTATAAAGCCCAGTACATCTGGCACCCCCACAGGGACTTCTGAATATTACTTTTTCGTGCACCGGGGAATGAACCCAGACCTTTGTACTGAGATACATCTTTTACCTTAAATTTAAAACATTTTGAGACAGGGCCTTGCTGAGTCACTAAATTGCCTGGCTAGGCTTTTACTTGTGATCCTCCTGCATTAGCCTCCCTAAAGTTCTGGGATTAAAAGTGTGTGCCACCACTTTTGGTTGGAAATTAATTAATGTTCCCTCCCCTACTTTTAAGTCTACACTGTATGGGGAAATTAAAAAAGGCACATTCAGTTGGACCTGGGGAAATGAAGACTATAGGGCTGGGAAGAGGCTGAGGCCTGGGGCAGCAGCAGAGGTGCCTCTGGGCCCAGTCCTGGCTCACCCCTGCCTGAAGCAGGCAGCCTCAGACCAGCTATTTCCTCCACAGCATGACCTGTGCCAAGTGTAACCATGGCTTCTGTTGGCGCTGCCTCAAGCCCTGGAAACCCAGTCACAAAGACTACTACAACTGCTCTGCCATGGTGAGGGCCTGGTGCCAGGGAGGCGGGGTCAGAGCAGTCAGGTGACAGCGGCTGGGAGAGAGGCTCAGCCTGGGGAGGACTAAAGCCAGGAGGGCCCGCAGGTCCTGGGACAGGGTATTGAGAGACCTTCTCAGGGCCTCCATCTTCAGAGCAGGGCTTCCACCCTGGGGTCGATAGGAAGGGGAGGCACCAGCAGGTACCAGGGCAAGGCAGAGCAAGGATGCACTGCCAAGGCCCCTCCAACGGACTAATTGGAGGAATGGGTGAGACCCTTGAGTGCAGGGTGCGGGTCTCATGCCCAGTGGAGTTCCAGTGATTCACTGTCCCACACGAACAAGTGGACAGCAGCCCTATCTCTGTCTCACCAGGTGAGCAGGGCAGCTCGCCAGGAGAAGCGCTTTCAGGACTACAATGCGAGGTGTACCTTCCACCACCAGGCGCGAGTGAGTGAGGAAGAGGGGTGCTGAGAGGTCCAGGCCAGGGGCAGGTAGAAGTCGCGCAGATACCAATTGCTTTCCTCCCACAGGAGTTCGCTGTGAACCTGCGGAACAGGGTCTCAGCCATCCGTGAGGTGCCCCCACCCAAGTCCTTCACCTTCCTCAGTGATGCTTGCCAGGGCTTGGAACAGGCACGGAAGGTGGTTGTGGTGAGGGTTGGGAGGGCTTAGTGGGCTCAGTTGCTCCCCTGGGACCTGCCTGGGTAGAGGGCTGACCGGGAAGGTGGCGAGAGTGCCCGGCTCCCTAGGTGCTGGCCTATGCCTGCGTGTACAGCTTCTACAGCCAGGACACCGAGTACATGGACGTGGTGGAGCAGCAGACCGAAAGCCTGGAACTGCACACCAATGCCCTACAGATCCTCCTTGGTGAGCCGGCCACCTAGCCAGGCCTCGCGGTGTCCTGGGTCCGTGGCCACCAGGGTGGGAAGTCCCGGCCTGCACACCGTCACTGGCATGCACCTGTGTGAATGACATCTAAAGCCGAGGTGACCCTCAGTAGCTGCTCCACTGGTGTTTGTGGAAGGAAGGATGGGGAGCGGGGTCAAGGGAGCGAGCCCTGTGCCTCACCCTGCAGAGGAGACGCTGCTGCGCTGCGGGGACCTGGCCTGCGCCCTGCGCCTCCTGCGGGCCGACTGCCTGAGCACAGGCTTGGAGCTGCTGCAGCGCATCCAGGAGCGGCTGCTGGCCATCCTGCAGCACTCTACCCAGGTACCTGCTGCCTGGCCCACAGCAGCCTCCCGCCTCCC